TTTCCGTACCTTAAGTTGGGATGATCCCTCCACCCCGGATTGTAAGTGTTGTCGTGAGGATCATATCTTCTTTGACCTTGGAAACCCAAATCATTGACTTGCTCGGGGTTCTCCTCTTGTAATGTTGGGCAGGAATCGGTGGGATGCCCTTGTGTCGAGCATATGCCGCAGACCTTGACTTCTTGGGTTTTTGGATTCAAAAGAAAATCTTTGACCAAAGAAGTCAAGCCGGCCACTTGACTTTCCAATGAGTTGTTGGATTCCGCTGCCATAACTCTTTTTGATGGTGACCTCCCATTGTAGTGTCTTGAGTTTTCGGCTAATTCCGAAATGAGGTCTCTTGCTTGGGAAGGGGTTTTGTTGACAATACCCCCTCCGCATGCCGCATTCACCATGCGTCGGTCTTGATCGACAAGCCCATCATAGAAGTAGAGGATGAGATCTTGTTCCGAATACCCATGATATGGGCAACTAGCGCATAGTTTTTTAAAGCGCTCCCAATATTCGTACAAGGTCTCATCATCCGCTTGCTCAATGTTGCTGATTTGCTTTTTGAGACTTGAAGAGATAGATGCGGGATAATACCTGTCGAGGAAACTCTTTTTCATTTGAGCCCATGTGTTGATGCTACCCGAAGGAAGATAGAAATAAAAGCCAATCCTTCGCGGTGTCTTTTAAGGAGAAAGGGAAAGCCCTTAACTTGATTTGTTCCTCGGACACGCCATTGGGGCACATGCTCGTGCACACAATATGGAATTCCGAGAGGTGTTTGTTCGGATCTTCCCCCCGTAGGCCATGAAAAGAGGGAAGTAGATGAATGAGCCCAGATTTAAGCTCAAATGTGACCCCCGTATCAAGAGTTGGAAAAGTGATACATAGGGGTTGTTGATTTAGATTCGGAGCTGTGAGCTCCCTCAATGTTCTTGTTTCATGAGCCATAGTGATTGGCTCTTCGGTCTCGCTAGATTGAGAACTAGCACTTGATGATTCTCCCGAGTCGGAGTTTGAGAATTTGTTTTTCAACCGCTCGAGAGTTTGTTCTATTTCGGGGTTTGAGTGGTATGTGATTTCGTTCAGTGAACGATACTTTACCATATACTACAAAGCTCAGAAGAAATAGAAATCTTTATACTTGAACCATATTTTTTTCTTTCTTTTTCTTAAAATAAAGTAAAAAGAAAAATTAATTGCCTGTCCCCGGCAACGGCGCCAAATTTGACGTGCACTTTGTCGTGAGTGCACTAAAAAAAAATCGATACTAACACTTATACGTAGTATAGGTGAAGTAGAGTTCGTATCCACAGGGAAAGGAATAACTTTCTTTTTATATAAATAGTAAGTAAAGGGGGGTTTTGATTTTGAGTGTTTTAATCTAATTAAACACGAAGATGAACGAGTTATATGGGATTAAATTCAAGAATAAAAGGGACTTGGTCTTGCTACTTTCCACTTGTTGATATATTTTAGTCGATCATTGTTATATCTATAACTTATCCCCTCTCGAATACTCAATCGAGGAGTATATCCAATTCATCGAGGGTAGTTATTAACAACGACCGTTCATTAATAACCCTTACTATTAATCAAATATAGAACAACGTCGTATACCGATATAATGGTAGCATTTAACCTCTTTAACTCCTAGATGAAATCAATTGAGATTGATAACCTCAACACAACGGTTTCAGTTTAACCAACAAAATTAATCCCTCTTGAGTTTATTAACCACGACCGTGCATTAATAAACCGAAGTTACTTACTTGTGAAACCATCAACGTTTAACCATCGGTTCGTTGATCGTTTCTAGTAATAATCAATGTTGGAACGTTAACTAATCGTCACTTAGCCACCCTCCAACATCAATATAGAATGAGATTAAGGGAAGAATTAATAATCAAGAGGAGAAAGTAAGAAAATAACTCACAACTTTAATAATCAACAAGCTTCAAGAGCAAAACCAAGAAATGGAAGTTTAGCTCCTCATTTGGAGACTAAACATGCTAAAAGAAATATAGAGAAATGCTATTCTAAACTGAGCTTAAGAGTATATAGGAATTGGTGTCTCATTGTGAAGGAAAGAGGGTGTATTTATAGGCTTTTGGGATGGGACTTCGAGTACTCGATCGAGTATATACATAGTACCCGATCGAGTATGTGTGAAATGCCAGATTCGAGGTATACTCGATCGATTCAGCTTTAAAAATCAAAGGTGTACTCGATCGAGTATATATTCATACTCGGTCGAGTATGCGTAGAAAGTGATATTCGCGCCATACTCGACCGATTTCGGGTTTAAATTCAAAGGTATACTCGATCGAGTATGTCGGTCTACTCGATCGAGTATAGACATTGAATCGTGGTCAAAAATCTTCCCGGCATGTTCCTTTGTCTTCGGATCCGATTTGATTTGAAGTTTCAACCTTATACCCGATCGAGTATAGGTAATACTCGACCGAGTAAAGGTAAAAATCAGGATTTTTCCCTTTTGTCTTGTGATTTGCACCTTCTTTCCACTTTTGGGGTTCACCAACCATCCTTTGAGTGATAATGGACCTGTTTGAGCTCAGAATAATCCTAATCTAAACAATTTACAAGGATTTAACAAACTAAACTATTACACCAAAAGTGTGTAATTTCCGAAACATTAAACAACCAAAACTAGCTAAAAACATAAACATACACACGGAAATTACAAGTGTATCAACACACACTGCCACACAAACATGATCATTTTCCCCTAGCCTATATCCCAAGCACCCTTTCTTACACATTGGCCATTATCCCTATTATAAAAACACATTGGGCACAATCTCCATCGCGCACCGCGCGTTGCGAAAACTAGTAATTAATCATACATTACTAGACCATAGTAGTTGAGATCAGACTACACCATCAAACTTGTAATGCACAATTTATACCGTGCGACCGGCGCACCATGAGGATGGTGTGCCCGGTCGCAAAACAACACAACATCGCGATCGTCCCCCCCCCCCCCCCCCACCACGTGCGTCTAAACCAGCAACTCTCTCCTCGCCCCCAGCCACCAGCCACCGGCATCTGGCCGCCCAACAATGGCCTTCACAGCCCCCAGCCCCTCTCCCATCCTTAGCCTGCAGAATTGTTGCCCAACACCCTCCCACACCCACAACCCCTATGCAGCCCCTGTAACTGCCACATCACACCACCACAATCCCCAGCTGCAGCACCCAGTTGCAGCTCCAGACCATGCATTGAAATTTAAATGAATATATAAATATTCATCCATTCATATATATATATATATATATATATATATATATGGTGTTACATCTCTGTAAAAACGTTTTACATTTCAGTAGCCTAAAGTTACATATCTCAAGTTACATCTAATTTGTTCCCCAAGTTACATTTCAATAAAAGCAGTTTACATTTCAACGAGTTACATACGAATGAGTGCAATTTACATTATAATTAACTTGAAGTTACATCTTGAATCACACGAGTTACATCTCATATAACCATGGGTGCATGGTGTTCACCATGCACCGGTTGCACGGTATACAAACTGCTTATAATGAGAACATATCAGACTTAAAGAGATGATACCTAATTAAAGAGATATCACACAAAATCAGGTGAAAACATTCTAAATTGTCGGTACATAACGACAAATCGGTATATAATACTGCTGAAATTTTAGGGCTTTAAAGCAGAATTCATGCAAACGACCAAACGTACTACTATACCACATAGTTTTGCCACGAAGAGTACTTAAATTACAACGAAAATCACATACAAATTAGGATAATTTTGAAAAAACCTTTTTATTTCAGTAATACTTTTGAAAAAACCTTAACCATTTCCATTTTAGAATACTTAAGGGGAAAATTAAACCCAAAGTTAGCAAATTTTGATACTCATACGGAGGTTTTTAATTGAACTACTATCAGTCCTACCCGACCAAGAATGATCAGACAAGAATAAATTTAAATAGGCTAGATTAGATTTATACATATCAAACTAAATCAAACGAGAGTTATATAACAGTAAAATACATATACACAAGTAGTTATATACCAGTCATATGCATATACACAAGAAATTCAGGACCACTAGTTAGATGTGAATAGATCGCACATACATTGACCAGACCAGATTAGATTTAAAAGGATTAGACCAAATCAAGCCCGACTAAAAAATCAGTCCAAATAAAAAACACGTTAACAATCTTGACATGAACTTAGCTTGCAAACATAACATTTTTTATATCTAAATCTGAAGTTTATTTATTTTTAAACAAAATATAATGGACAAATTAAATTAAGGATATTTTTACTTTAGACGGGTTTCAATTTAATACAGAGTACTAGATTTAAATAAATTAGATAAGTTAAGATCAAATTACACTTAAATAGTAAGTACTACGTAATAAAGTATATATATTTACATCATATCATATACTCTCTCTCCATCGAGAAAAGGTGTGCCAAATTGACATTTATTGGTCAATGACAATCAACTTTAAGCAATAATATTTTTAATACGAAATTATTTTGAATATGGACATTATATCAAAATGTTCCTTCTTCAAATTATTATCATAAAAGTATAAAATTTATAAATAATATACAAATATAATGATTAAAAACATTATCCAAAATTTGTCATCATTGATCAAGAAAAGTCAATATGACGAATCTTTTGAGATGAAGGTAGAAATATATCAAACTAACATATACTCCGTATATAGGATGTTTTAGCTTGGACTGTTTCAGTCCCAGACCAGACTAGACCAAATCAGATTAGACCATATTAGTCCAGATAAGACCGGACCAGACCGGACCAGATAAGACAGGACCAGATAAGATCAAACCAGATAAAAAAAATCGGCCCAAGTAAAAACATCTGTAGTAGTACATTATAAAAGGATCAGACTATAATGTAGGATGTTTTTACTTACACGACTTTCAGTCCCAGACCAGATCAAATCAGACTAGACTAGACCAAACCAGAAAATTTCAGTCCAACTAAAAACATCAATACTAGTACATTATAAAGAGATCAGAGTACACCATCAAACTTATAAAGAGAACGTATCACACTAAAAGAAATGATACCTAATTAAAGAGAGTATATACAAAATAAGGTGAAAACATTCTAAATAGTCAAAACAAAACGACAAGAAAGTCGGTACAAAATACTGCTCAAATTTTAGGGCTTCAAAGCAGAATTCATGCAAACGACCAAACGTCATACCACACAGTTTTTTACCACGAAGAGTACTTAAATAAATTACAACGAATTAAAATCACATACTAATATAGAGGAGTCTAGCAAATTATCAGAAATCGACGTACTGCAATTCTGTTGATGTTGAACGATGACTTATATATGCTGTTCGTCGATGATATATCTTTCGAATTATAATTTAAACCCTTCCATATATGCTACCTAGGGTTTGTAGAAGCTAGCTTTGAGATCACAGAAAATGGCTGGTGGACGAAGATGAAGATCGAACTGAAGAAGATCAGTTGAAATGGCTGGAAAGCCAGTATTGGTTATTCCCCATACTACCCAAAAACGGCCTTGTTGAATTGATATTATTCAACCCCTGACTTTCTTCCATTTTTCCCGATCCTTCAGCTTGAAAGGGGTCTAGATTTGTGGACGGAGCCGGCTCGAAGCCGGCTAAAGAATCCATAAACCTCCACGGCTCCCCATCTCCGGTGAATATGAAACTGTTGCTATTAACGTTACCAAAACCGCCATTTCCAATTGGGCTTACTAGTTGTGGGGTTTGGAAGCGGCTTCCCACACTCAAGCCGCCGCCGCCGCCGATGTTATCAACGTAATAGCTCAAGCCGGCTTGATGAAAAGCGTTAACTAGCGGTAGCTCATAGGTTGGCGGCTGAGAAATGTTGCCCGGAATACCAACGCTTCCAGAGCCAGTAGGACATGCTCCGCCGGCGGAAGAAGGGTTTCCGCCGCCGGTGGTGTCAACGACGTCACTTTCTTTCTCCGGGATGGCCGTGCCGCGCCCGGATCTTGATCCACCACCCTTACTCCTCTTGCTTCCCCGGCAGTTCCCGCCGACAGGAACATTTCTCATGGCGCCGCCTCTAGTCCAGTAGCGGCGGCAGGCCTTGCAGAAGTGCCTAGGCTGCATCAAGTTGTAGTTGTTGAAGTAACAAAATTTAGTGCTAGTTGAATCACACCGAGGGCACTTCAACCCGTTTTCGGGAATCGGAATTCGCGCTAGCCGGGCACGGTCCACCATGGAGGCAGGGCGGGTGGAGCCCTGCCTGCCACCTCCGGCCACCTGAGACGGCGGCGGTGGAGGTGGCAGGTGGGTCGATATCCGATGATTCTCAACTCCAGATTCTTGCTGATTGTAAGGCTTCTGTAATTAAAAGCCATTGATTTAAATGAAATCAAGAATAGAAAGTTGTGAAGCACATGCATCAATGAAGCTACATTTGAGAGAATAAACATGGATGGTGTATTTAATTTGTGTATGATTTCATAATTATTCTATAAATATTCACTAAGTTTACCCAATAAGAAATTAAAAATTTACGGACTACGGATCGGAACAGTATATATTTCAAGTATATTCAGCAAAAAAATTAAAGAGTTTATGTATAAAGATCTATAAAAAGCAATCCAAGTAGCTTAGGAATAAATATTTGAATTCCAATTTTAAAATCTTCTTTTTGGAGTTGGGATGAAAAAGATCTTTCTTAGACATGAAGGGAGAGAATTAAAGAGAAATGATTGAATTAATAAAGAACCTCAGCTAACTCACCTGGTGCAAATTTGATTGATCTAAATAGACAGGAAGAGAAGAGAAAACCATGATTGAATTTGTTCTTTCTATCCTTTCTTTCTTCGATGATCTCTTTACTCTTTGCTCTTTAGCTTTAATAAAGAGAGACGGATTGTTTTGGAAACATGTATGGTGGAGACTGGAGAAAGAAATGGTCTAGCAAAGAGAGGGGGCAGAGAGAATACTAAACTAGCAAAAAGAGAAAGGGAAAAAGAAGATGCAGGAAAGAAAATTAAAGCAGATGAGGCATTGAGGATCATATGATATGATACCCTAACTTTACTTAAATGTAACAATTTCTATCTTCCTTTCCTTTTTGTTTTATTAGAGGTTACGTTTCTGTCATGTTTACTCACTATAAAAAACAACCATTTTGGCTCGGACTTCGCAAGATTCTTAGACACAGACTGGCCAAAATTTATAAGGTATTCCGCACAGATTTGGCACGGATACGTTAAATTGATGCCAAATTTTGTGTCAATGTTGTTTCGTCACCAGCTATTCGACACAAATCTGTGCCAAAAATATGTTACGATCCGTGTCAAATTCAATCAATCCGTGCAATGTTCGTGCCAATATCATTGTTTTATTATAGTGATTGTTCCTTCCCCTCCTATTTTTGTCCCATTTTGATTACATTTTTCTTCCGCTCCATTAGTTTTGTCTCATATCATATTGAGTAAAATTTAGGTGGCTACCATTTATTCTTACTTTACTAACCTTTATTTCATTCTTTTTTGTCCTAATGTTAGTGGGACAGAGGTAATATAACTCTCAAATACTTTATGTCTACAAAACGTAGTCATATGGATTGACGCCATAGCACAACAACCACAACATCACCCCCAATGCGGCAAATTAAAGGCTTCCACCTAGGTTGGGGTAAGGAGTAACAAATGTACGCAGTCTTACCTCTGTACTAAGCATAAAAAGACTATTTCCAGATGACTCGTGATGAAAAGCGCGTCGAAAATTGTAAGAATGGATTGTTATTTCATAACAAAGAATCACATATAGTTTACGGACTTATTTCTCTTTATTTGATCATATTTCCAAGTTAGTCCATTACTCTCGTCTTAGTTAAGGACTAACACCAGATTCAAAATTAAAAAGCGTATGATTGCTAACTTTGGAGATCAGAAGAAAAAACAATGGATAGCATTGATAACGGATTTGTTACCTAAGAAAATAGTTAAAAGCTGTCGAGCAGAGACATATATAGAAAGTTGGCAAAATTTAATCGTGACATTAATTACAGTATACCGGAGTTCTTTTAATTTATAAGACTTAATTAGGGACTATATACCTTTTTTCTAATATAATTTGATCTGGTTACATCTAAATCATGTGATGTGAGTAGGGAATGAGCAAGGGGAGTGGGGTATTGTCGCCTACCAACATGCTTTTTCATCACCCATATATACATAACAAACAAGCACTACGTGTATGATATAGTGCTTTTTCCCCATCATCCCACTGAATTTGGTTAAGTTTCACTTGAAATAGAATCTAAAAGTAAAAATGTGTTACTACATTTTGTATGGAGAAGAGTAAAAGTAATATTTGTTACAATCTTGTTATGGATACTTTAAAAAAAATGATAGGTTGATTTCGAATTTGCAAAATATGAATGAGGTTGAACCACACAAATATGTCAAATGCATTTATGGCACATTTAAATTTATTTATTATGACAGGGTGATGATAATTAAGCATGAAAAAGATTCACCATTCTTGAGAATATCCTAGCTCTGAACGTTTAGTTGTAAACATGCTCTATCTTTTACTACGTATGTTCTAATATAGTCTAGTAAGGTGCTAAAACATCTTAAACCGGATATGCTATTAGGTTGATATAAAAGTTTGCGTCTACAATGCCCTTGGCTTTATTGCACTACACGTACACTAGTAAAAAATCTACTCCGGTAATAGTGTTGTACACTAGTAAAAACTATAAAATCTGCTCCTGTTATAGTGTTGTACGTAATTTTATTGAGAAAATTCGTTAAATAAAACTAAAACATAATCAAAATGTACAAATGATATTAACATTGTTTTCTCCCTAAAACATATATATGACACACTCATTTCTAACTGAGGAAATTTTATACCATACTTTCAAAGGATCAAGTTAATATATATGGAGTACTAGTATATCACACATATATTAGGAATAAAACATAATTAACTACTCATATTTGTACATTTCCCCATGTTTTAGTTATTCGGGGCAATTTCTTTCTTTAATTTTATTCTCTTACCAATTGATGTTTGCAATTGATAAATTTATGGAATGTATTATTTCTGTTGGATAATTTCACATCGTGAGCTTTTCTAGTGGGATTTCTGCCGGAAATAATACATGCCAATGAAAAAGTCCTTAATTGATAAATTGATTTATTATAATAGATGATCTGCAAGTAAATAAAAACTAGAATAATAATGGACACATCAAAAGTTATAGGGCTCAAGAATTGTATCTGAAAATATCTCTAGAATTAAGTGCAAATTAAATTATTTTCACTCATATCTAAAATATTGTGGGTTCAAAAATATATCTATAAATAAAGTAATTTTACATGTTAAAATTTTCAGAGTTGCATAAAATATTTAATTAACATAACATATGATGAGCATTATATATTACGGAGTATAAACTAATTATTGTTTTTTCCGTTGGTTAAAATTTCAAATTCGCATTAATTTTCTCTTAAAAGTATTGGACTGCCACGTAACGTTCGAAATTGACTAGTCAACAGAAGACTACAAAGAGGATATTATGATGAAGAAAATGATGTAAATGATTAGTGCGTTAGTAAAATTGGTGGGTTGTGACTCCTCATTTGCATAGCTAAAAAGCAAAGACGGCGGGCGGGCATGCATGCTACATATACGTAGTACTAGTATAATGCATGCTGGATGAAATCTGTCGTTATGTAGGATGTTTTCTTTTGGACTAAAATTTGCTGGTCTGGTCTGATCTGATCTGAACTGGTCTGGTCTTATAAATGTCTGGTCTCTGTGTATTTTGTAACTATGGAAGTCTGGTCGATCTGGTCTGGTCTGATCTGTTTAAGTCTGGTCTGGTTTGGTCTGAGACTGAAAACAGTCCAAAAGAAAACATCCCTAGAATATTAACCGAACGAATTATATGCATAGACCAATTTTGTGCGGCTAAGATCTGATTTTGTAACTTAAAAATTTGTATGATATGATATGCCGTTTCATAAGAAATTATAGCGCCTTTTCCCCTAGGTTTTCCATGAATTCCACATATCCGTAGTGATTTTGATCACGATTCTTGTGTTGCGTACTCACGACCGATGCTGGCATCTTAATGAGGAGAAGGAAGAGGAGGAGGGCATAGACATCGGGGAGTTGAGAATGAGTTACGTTGGAGGCTGAATCCAGGACATCCTAATCTTGCAATGTTGGGGTGACTTCTAACAAACAGACCAATGAAGTTTCCTTTCTTTCGAGAGACGATGGCGATATGAGTCGAGTAGGGTATGTTTTCACTATTCCATAGTTGGGAGGTGAGCGGTTTTCCATGCAAGTTTTATGATCACATTGATTTGGAATGGTTCTTTTAATGGGCACCATATGTTAATAATGCATAGACGAGTTAGCTTGAGGAATCATCCATAGTGGTTCCCATAACTCATGCAATGTTTTGCATTGTGTGCACATACACAATCTCCCTATCATTCTCATAATTGAGTAGGTTTCTGAGATGAATGGTAGGGCATTAGGCCATTTGTTAAGGTGGATAAGAATAACTTTGATGGAGTGGAAAGCTTTTCTTCGGGTTCATGTAAGATTTCATGTCTTACAATCACTGAAAAAGAACATGAAAATTCACTCAGGTGATGATTGGGTATGGGCGGAGTTCAAATATGAACATGTTTTATTGTTACGATTCATATATATGTGGTGGATCGGATGGGGAGGGTTTAGATTTTTTTTTTTACTGTGATGCAACTCTGTGAGGACGTTCGAAAAAAACTCATACAAAAAAACGAGGGGGTAGGACATGCCCTATGGATCTCCAATGTCATGAACCGGTGGTATTCATATATTAAATGCATGAAATATAGTGTGTACACTAGGGGTGGGATCGGGATGATCCCGATCCCGATTGCCCAAATCCTGATCCCGTCCCGATCCCAATTCAAACTACAAGATGATCCCGTATCCCGTCCCGATTAAGTCGGGATCCCGACATTAAAATCCCGACTAAGTCGGGATCCCGATCGGGAATCCCGCTTAATCCCGCTAAATCCCGACAATGAAGTATCAAACATAAAATTATGTAATTTCTTTAGTTAAACACTAACTTTGATATTTAGCGGTTTCAAAATTATTCTTTGTTCATTGTTATACCATATTTACCATCATCTACTTATAAAGTTTATTGTAATAATTATCCTCTCAAATTCACACCAGTACATACTTTTAGAATAATTTTTATTTGTAAGTTGTAACTTCAATTAATTAATAGTATAATTTTTTAATAAGCTATCAAGGGTTAGTGAAACTTACTTCAAACATTTTATAAAAATCACTAAAAGAAGTATGTGTAACGTATACTATTTAAAATTCAAAACTAAGTGGACTCATTGAGAAACTTTGTGACCAATGAATATAATGTATAAATCCATATTATGATTATTTACTAAAGAAAGAAATCTTAGTCTCGATCATAATTTTTTAAAGAGTTCATCAGAACCGCAAAATTTGTAATATTGTTGTGATTTAGATTGTCGGGATCAAGAATAATCTCTATTTAGTTCGGATCCCAGATATTCATTTTCGGACAAATGCCGAATAGTTTTAGAAGTTTGATATTGTAAGATACTCGTAGTAAAAGATTAATCTATGTAAGGAATAAGTAATTAAAAAAGATATGCAAATATTTAGATACATATTCATTTTTTTATAAATGTATATTCATTTTTTATGGATTCATATATAATTATATACATATATATATAATGTCGGGATGTCGGGATTTTCCTGATCCTGACATTTTTTTTTTAAAATCCCGGTCCCGTCCCGACTTAATCGGGATCGGGAAAAATTCCCGACTAGTCAGGATCGGGATTTTCGGGATCGGGAGTCGGGAGTTTTTTCCCAGCCCTAGTGTACACAATTAGAGATATACTTCATTTCATTTGAGCATTTGAAAAGGGATATTGCACATTATACCTAAACAAAGCTTAACGAAAGGTGACTAGCCAT